ATAATGAAATACATTTGGCAAGGAAAGAAGGCCAGAATTAAAATAAAATGTTTACAGGATACTAGGGAGAAGGGAGGCCTTAGGTTTACTGGACTGGAAGCTATACTACAAGGCAGCATCACTAAATTGGATCAGAGAATGGATAGACTTAACAAACAGGAGAATGCTATATTTAGAGGGATTTGATCTGAGTCAAGGTTGGCATGCCTTTCTGTGGGAAGGCACAGACAAGCAACATGGGTATTTCCAGAGACACTTAATTAGAGGCTCACTATACAAAACGTGTCAAGGCATCAGAAAGCAATATTATAGTAAAATCCCACGATGGCTGTTGCCCATGGAAGCCCTAATTTATCCAAATACCATAGAAATAGGAAAGATGAGGAAATATCAAGAATTACTGAGCAATGAAGGGAACTGATACACGAGACAAGAATTGGAAAGGCGGGGTATAGTTATTGATTGGTGGCCATACCTTCAAATAGAGTCAAGATTCATAGCAGACTAGATACAATATGGATTTCAAACCAATCCGAATGAACTGGATAAAATATTAAAAGGCATTGATAACTAAAATTTATGGATATTTAATGAAGTACAAATTAAAGGAGGAAACGGTGAAAGAAAATATAATAAGCTGGGCAAGAAATATAGGTCACAACATAGAATTGGATAAATGGGATAAGCTATGGACAGAAAATCATAAGATGACAATGTCGATCCCATACAAAGAAAATCTATACAAGATATTCTACAGATGGCACCTCCCACTGGCATGCTTGGCTAAAATGTTTCCAAATACATCACCAATGTGTTGGAAATGCAAGTCACAAAAGGGGTCATACTACACCATCTCTGGTGGTCTTGTAGAAAGGCGCAACACTACTGGCAAGAAATCAAGAAAATGATTGAAAAAATAACGAAGCAAAAGGTCGAAATGAAACCGGAATTTTTTTTATTTGGAATGACCACACCACAATATACTAAAGAGATAAAATACCTTATTATTCACATCCTGACAGCGGTATGCATAGTGTATGCTCAAAATTGGAAATCAGAACTATTACCAACAGAAGGAAAAATAATTGCAAAAATAACTGAATGTGCAGAAATGGATAGACTCACTAAAGAGCTCCAACAGAAGGAGGGTACCGATTACTACATAGTTTGGCAAAGATGGTACTCATGGCTAGAGGGAAAGATAGGGCCAGTAAAATAAGACACTAGGAGAACCTAAATAAGAAGCACAGAAATAGGCACATGAGGAAAACTGTAGGACAGTATATATAAATAGTTAGTACAATTCAGAGAAAGCTACATTTGGATATGCATAAATGTGTCAAAGTGCAAACAAACAAATATGCAAATTGTTAAATAAAAAAAATAACAGGTGAATTAGAAAACAACCACCGATGCGATAGTTTCTTAGGAGTTAGTCGATAGACTTCTTTTTTTTTTTTTTTTGGTATTGTATCAATGTATACGTGTTTATATGTATTTGTGTTTTATGTTTGTTTGTGTTATAAAATAAAAAATTATATATATATAAAAAAGAGAGAATGTGTATGTATATATTGTAGATAAACCTCCATGCAATTTCATGAAAATACATGGAATTGATGTTAAAAAAAAAACCAGCCATACTGTTGCCTGTATGCTCATATTTATATTTATTGTATATATAACTGCAACGTTGTGTATCACTGGGCTGTATATATGCCAAACCCCATACAAACATATTTCCCTTTCTTGACAGTAGATAATCCCTTTTATTACATAATTCCCATTTTTAAGTAACTTGAACTACATCTTCTCTTTCTTAATTGGATATTCCCAAATGGAATTGTTTATTTTTTTTTAGTTACATATCAATTAGGATTACAGCCATCCTAATTCTGGATTATGCAACCTATGGTCAACAAGGAGTTGAAAACAAACCTGTTTCAGTAACTAAAATCAACTTAAATTTATGCACATCTGCATAAAATTAATTGGGAGAAGGATAACTAATAGGGACCTAAACTGATAAGGAATTAATTTATCATATTTTATAGTTTACTAGATTATATACAGGGGTGGGTTCTAATTTTTTTTACTATCGGTTCTGTGGGCGTGGCTTATTTTGTGGGCGTGACTTGATGGTCATGTGACAATTCTTTAGGATTTAGCAGAGGTACTGGTCTACCAGGCTTTTAACTGGTAGACCAGTAGCCCCAGACCCCCTTGGGATCAACCTGCAGCCCTCCCCTGCCTCCTAAGGCGGTGGAGCGTGTGGGGGGGGGATGCTTTTCAAGAAGTCACAAGGAGGGCTGAGAGCTGGTTTCTGTCCCACAAGTACGTAAGAAAATATAAAATTGAAAAGGAATACAGCAATAGAGAGGGATGAAGGAAGGAGAAGAGAGATGGAAGAAGGAAGGAGAGAGAGGGAAGAAAGAGAAGGGAGGAAGGAAGGGAAGGGAAATTAGAGTAGGAGTGAAGGTAAGAGAGGGAGGAAGAGAGGAGGAGAAGGAGAAAGGAAGAGGAAGTAGGGAGGAAAAGAAGGGGGAAGAAAAAGTAAGAAGGAAAGAAAAGAGAGAGGTGGTAGGTTTGAGGAGAAAGATTGCTGTACAATAAAAAAGATGAAATGGAAGAAAGGCAACCGCAAACAAATATAAAGATATTAAGATAAAGAATGAATTGTTAAACTTTAAAGAATAAAAGAGAAGTTTAGTTTAGTTTAGTTTATTTGATTTATATACCGCCCTACTCCCGAATGACTCAGGGCGGTGAACAGGCACAAGATAAAAACACATAAATACAAAATTTAAAAAACAGAATAAAACTGAATTAAACAATTTGGCAGAAGACAGAATTAAAACACCCCAATAAATTAAGAATGAATTAAAATTTGCGTATTAAAAAGGGAAAAATATTAATATTACAAATATTAATAAATAGCAATAATTAGAAACACACATACAAACATACAATGTATTTTCTTTGAACAGAATATTTGGCCGGTTCACAAATTTAAACAGTGTTTAGTCATTTCAATTAAATTTACAATTTCTATATTTCCTTTTTGCCATATTTATTCCTCATCTATTTTTTTTAAAAAACCAATATTACCCTTCATCCTCATCTCTAATCTTAATCAAATTCAATTTTTCCCTTCTATTCTATATTTATACCCCTTCCCATTGTCATCTATTTTTATATCCATCCTCACATTGGTTAATTATGTAATATTACAGTTGTTTAATACAAATTCAACATTTTAATATAAATCAATTAGTTATATAACTATCTTTTTTGTATATTAATCAATATGAACATGAATATTCCAATTATTTCCATCCAATCCAATTTCTTACAAATCAATTAATTATATTTACCAATAATAATAAATCAAATAATTTCCCCCAGATATTCCTCCAAACCACAACTTAACCATTTCTGCTTTCAACACAATATACAATTAATAGTATCTCAATTATTACAATTCCCTAGTTAAATAGAGCTTTTTTTCTTTTGTGTTTTAAAATCTTGAACTCTCCTCTTTTGCCCTAAATTTCCCATTGTTTGCACCTACCTGTTTTGGTGAGGAAAAAGAAAAAAAATCTGCCTCTTCCTAATTTTCCAACGTTGCAGCAAACAGCAAAGCCAACAGCCTGCTTTACTTTCACTTTTGCTTTTCAGCATAGCTAGGGAAAAAAACAATCTGCTCCAGCACTCTTTGCAGCAAGCAGCAGAGCCCTGCGCAAAACAGCTGAGAGCAAATCAGCTGAGAGTCGGGAGGCCGATCTAATCAACTGGCTAATTAGCCTATGGTGAAGCTGAAAGGAGTTGTTTTTTCTTGCTGTTTGCTTGCAAGGAGGTAACTGCACAGGCCAAAGGGTAGGGGCCACCCTCCTTGCCACTTAGTGCCTCCCTGCCGCCCCCTTTTTCCTCTAGCACCCCCCCTGCCACCCCCCTTGCCTCTTACCGCCCCCTAAGGCATCCCACCGCTCCCCAGGGGGCGGTACCGCCCACTTTGGGAACCACTGGTCTACTCTTTTATTTTCTTTTAACACTGATCAGCTGTAGGGCGGCCCTTTGAAGCCCCGCGGCAAGAGTTTAAACAGTTTTTTCCTCTCTAGCCGATCAGCTGGGACTCAGGAGGCAGCAATAGTTTGGGGGTGGGGCCAAATAAAAGGTAAGACTAACACAGGGGGGCAGGGGGGCAGGGGGGCAGAACCGGTTCGGTGATATCATATCGTCACCGCTACCGGGTCAGCCGAACTGGGAGGAACCCACCACTAATTATATAGTATTGCTTTTGTACTTCTATATTTTCCCACATTCCCACCCTTTGTTTAGGCTACATTTATTTTTATTTCTTAATTAAAATACACAATGTATGAAGTTAGCTGACTGTGAGAACAGTCCAGCTAGATCAGAAACATTAGACTAAATATCTGCTTTACATCACATTTTTAACATGGCCAAGCTTTTTGTCAGTGAGGTAGTACTACATATGTTCTTGCCCGTTAGGTAATTGTTATGCTTTAGTTCTGAATACATTTCTTTGAACATAAATATATGTTAGGGTGATCTGGATTGGGATTTCTATTAAAAATGAGGAGAAATTATATTCCTTTCCTTAATTTTTTTTTATTTTATCACATTGACAAACGTTAAAAGATCCGCTGCATGATTCTTGTAGAGAGAGAAGAGAATTATTCACATATTAATTTTATAAATGTAAATTTTAAATAAAACATGTCCATAGAATAGCAGGAAAATGTGTACATTTTTGTATCTGTTGAAACATAAATATTATCTATTTATTTTGTGGCATTCATATATCTCTAAATTTTGTGACATCATTTTCCAACATCAGTTTTAACAAACTTTCTTTCCATTTTTTTCAATTTTTAAATAAAGAGTAACCTCACTATATTATTACTAAAAATATAATTTTTTTGGATTGCTGCTTGCAATATGCTAATGTCCTAATAGCATTTGCTTTTTTTCTACAGAAAATTTGACAAATCATTGGAAAAATGGAGAAATTTCCATCATGATATGAAGAATTTTAACCTCTGGCTAACCGAAATAGAACAAACTTTAGCTAAAATAAGAGTAGAAACTGATGATCCAAATGTTTCTAAAAGCAAGCAATACATCCAGGTATGATTCCTTATATTTTTATTGTATGAATGCTGATACCTATATATGTACTGTTTAATGTGCATAGATATAAACGTGTGTATACATGTATGTATGTATGTATGTATGTATGTATGTATATGAGTGCGTGTATAGATAAAGATAATATAGATACAGATGTGGAACAGATAGGTTGGGGTAGATCATTCTGGAAAAAGTCTGCCTATATAGATAAGAGTTAACATTGAATTGCTGGAGTGATTGTATGTGTGTTGCACATTGCATATGTTTTCAATTTAGCCTCATCATTGATTCAAAATTTGCAACTCCAAAATCTTTTTGCTTTATTTGTCAATTTTTCCTTGATTCTAACAAGAGAATGTGAAAATCATGAGTTCCTATGAAAAATTGTATGGAAGAGTGGTAAAACTGGTTGTTTTTCACATTGTACAGGTTTTTTATTAAACTCATAAAACATCAACTTTCTTTTTCAAGTGATTACCACAAACCCATATTTTTAAATAATTTTACCTATTGTTATGCGGCTACTATAGCTTCTTGAAGCAATCAAACAGATCAAACTGTTGTCATGTTCATGGATAGGTTTTTGACCACATTTGGTTTCACAAATGGATAGACCTTTTGCATGAGCTACCCTTCCTTGAATCTCCCTCCCACAATTTATCAAAGGAAAAGAAAGAGGCGAAAAATATAACAATTGTATCTACTGTATTTCCTGGGCACTTAAGTTATAAAATAGTAGTCAATTCCTCTTAGTTAAAAAGAAAAAGTTCACTATCCATCAGTTACAGATTTTTTTTTTGTACAGATGTATATGTATTAATTTCAAATGATGAAAATAATCCTTAGCATTACTCGTAAACATTTTTTGGTTATATGATCAATAGATGAATTGGGCAAATGATAAGATGCTTGATTTTAAATGCTCTGACATTCAAACACACTGATGGTGCTTTAATTCTCTAAAGTGTTCTTCCATTGATGTCAGTAAAAATCATAGTTAATGGATAGTTTGATATATTTGAGCAGTAGCATTATGTTATTCTTCTGTAACCTTTAGAAAGAAATATGTTTTAGAATACTTCTATTTATTATCTTCTTTTAAACATTTATAGGACAACACTCTTCTATTTTAAGTTTTCTTTTCTTAGACAAATGCATTTCAGAATTCATGGTAAAAGTTACAGAAATGTGAAGAACATAAATTTGGTATTTTAATGTTACAATATAAAATGACTTAAAATATATCAATATGCTTTGTCATACTGAACTAAATCCAACATTACACAAATGGACTTCTGCTCACTCAATTTCCCCCCAAGTTTCACTGCTTTGCAACCTGCTGTGCAATGTTGGTATTCACTGCAAGTTCATTTATTTATCACTTAAGATAGGAAAAATTAAGAGACATATAGATATAGGGAAGAGAAGAAAGCTGAACATGTTCTCCTGAAGGAGAATTTCTTAACTCAGTTTTTTATCACCTTTTAGGCTCATTTCTAAAAATCATTATCATTTTTCCTTTAGGTAGAAAGAAGTACTAAAGTTGAATTATGAATTCTGAGAGCATGTATCATGTGCTTAATTAAAGCTGGTTAATAAAACATTTTAATTGAATTTCTAATATCTATTTTTTTAAAAAAATGGAAATGTTATCTACGTCCCTTTCTGGACCGGGATGCCCTGTGCATAGTCACTCAGGCCCTTGTCACGTCCCGTCTAGACTACTGTAACACTCTCTACATGGGGCTCCCTTGAAGAGCACTCAGCTCCAACTGGTCCAGAATGCGGCCGCGCGGGTGGTTATGAGGGTGACTCGGTGCACCCATGTAACACCCCTCCTGCATGAGCTGCACTGGCTCCCGGGGGTCTTCCGGGTGCGATTCAAGGTGTTGGTCACCACCTTTAAAGCGCTCCATGGCTTAGGACCGGGGTATTTACGAGACCACCTTCTGCCACCAACAGCCTCCCACCGGCCAATATGCTCCCACAGAGAGGGGCTCCTCAGGGTACCGTTGGCCAAACAGTGCCAACTGGCGACACCCAGGGGGAGAGCCTTCTCTGTGGGGGCCCTCTGGAATGAGCTGCCCCTAGAACTCCGTCTTAGCCCCGACCTGCGTACCTTTCGCTGCGCCTTGAAGACCCTTCTGTTCCAGCAAGCCGGGCTGGCCTAATACAAATTTTATAATGGGTGTATGTGTGTTTTAATTTGTGGGCCAAATTTTTTATATATTCAATTTTAATTGGTTTTAAATTTTGTAAATCTGTGTGTTTTAATATGGCTATACACCGCCCTGAGTCCTCTGGGAGAAGGACGGTATAGAAATCTAATAAACTCTAAAGTCTATCTTGGTAGCCAAAATGGTGGGCTTATAGACATTGCCTTCATGGCAGTGGTGGGATTCTGCCGGTTCTAGGGGGTTCAGCCGAACCCTTTGTTAAATTGCTGGCTCACCCGCCCCTTGCCCCTCCCCTCTGCACCACTATTTATTGCCAATAAATAGTGGTGGGCGAGGGGCGGGCGAGCCAGCAATTTAACAAAGGGTTCGGTGTTTTTTTGTGATTTTATTGGCCCGCGAAGCTTCAGCATCGGCTAATTAGCCCTTGCTTAGATCAGCTCCTGACTCTCAGCTGATTTGCTCTCAGCTGTTTTGCTCAGGGCTCTGCTGCTTGCTTGCAAAGAGTGCTGATTTTTTCCCCCCTAGCTAAGCTGAAAAACGAAACTGAAAGTAAAGAAGGCTGTTGGCTTTGCCGTTGCTGCAATTGGAAAATTAGGCAGGCAGATTTCTTTTCTTTCTCCTCACCAAAAAAGGTAGGTGCAAACAATGGGAAATTTAGGGGAAAAGAGGAGAGTTCAAGATGTTAAAACACAAAAGAAAAAAAGCTCTATTTAACTAGGGAATTGTAATAATTGAGATACTATTAATTGTATATTGTGTTGAAAGCAGAAATGGTTAAGTTGTGGTTTGGAGGAATATCTGGGGGAAATTATTTGATTTATTATTATTGGTAAATATAATTAATTGATTTGTAAGAAATTGGATTGCATGGAAATAATTGGAATATTCATGTTCATATTGATTAATATACAAAAAAGATAGTTATATAACTAATTGATTTATATTAAAATGTTGAATTTATATTAAACAACTGTAATATTACATAATTAACCAATGTGAGGATGGATATAAAAATAGATGACAATGGGAAGGGGTATAAATATAGAATAGAAGGGAAAAATTGAATTTGATTAAGATTAGAGATGAAGATGAAGGGTAATATTGGTTTTTTACAAAAATGGATGAGGAATAAATATGGCAAAAAGGAAATATAGAAATTGTAAATTTAATTGAAATGACTAAACACTGTTTAAATTTGTGAACCGGCCAAATACTCTGTTCAAAGAAAATACATTGTATGTTTGTATGTGTGTTTCTAATTATTGTTATTTATTCATATTTGTTCTCTTTTATTCTTTAAAGTTTAACAATTCATTCTTTATCTTAATATCTTTATATTTGTATGGGGTTGGCTTTCTTCCCTTTCATCTTTTTTATTGTACAGCAATCTTTCTCCTCAAACCTACCACCTCTCTTTTCTTTCCTTCTTACTTTCTCTTCCTCCCCTTCTTCTTCTCCTCCCTACTTCCTCTTCCTTTCTCCTTCTCCTCCTCTCTTCCTTCCTCTCTTACCCTCATTCCTACTCTAATTTCCCTTCCCTTCTTTCATCCCTTTCTATTGCTGTATCCTTTTATGCATATGGACTACTCAGAGGGCTGAAAAAATTATTTCTGACTGGTCCTCGCACTTTTGACCAGTCCTCGAACTTACGACTGTCCTCACATTTTACGTTTTTGCCCTATCTTGTCACCATGGTGAAGAGAAGCAGTTGTGAAATGAGTGACACGGTTGTTAAGAATGCTACAATGGGCATAAATGATGACCTGTCATAAGTGCGAAGACCGGTCAAAAGTGCGAGGACCAGTCAGAAATCACTTTTTTCAGCCCTCTGGGTAGTCCTTTTGTGCATATGGACTACTCAGAGGGCTGAAAAAGTTATTTTTGACTGGTCCTCACACTTTTGACCAGTCCTCGAACTTACGACTGTCCTCACATTTTACGTTTTTGCCCTATCTTGTCACCATGATGAAGAGAAGCAGTTGTGAAATGAGTGACACGGTTGTTAAGAATGCCGCAACGGGCATAAATGTGAGGATGGTCATAAGTGCGAGGACCGGTCAGAAATGGCTTTTTTCAGCCCTCTGTAGTCCCTATGCAGATAGCCATGCTCACCGGTCACATGACCAGCTAGCCATGCCCACCCAGTCACATGACTACCAAGCCACACCCCCAACTAAGCCACGCCCACAGAACCAGTTGTTAAAAAAATTGAATCCCACCACTGCTTCATGGGATACCAAAATACCTTAACAGAATTGTGAAAGTTATAGGGTGAAATTCAGTTATTCCTCATCAATATATACATTATGTATTAACATGATTTTTATATATAAAATTTCTGACACAGTACAAGGCAGAATCAAATTAACAGCTGTTCTGCCCCAGCTACGGACCCCAAAGAACGCAGCACACACAAAGTCCGTTCAAAATACTTAATTAGAAAATACTTAATCAGTATTTTCAGATACTGATTAAGAATATGGATATTGCTTAAAATAAAAGCCAAGCACTTTTTTCTGAACCAAAATTGATTTTTGAACCAAAATATGTGATCTTCAGGGTATTCTGTTGATTAAATGAAATTTTTTTACTAAAGAAAATTTCTCCTATTAAGAGGTGTTCCTTTGGAGTTGATTTAAGGTTTGTGAATATAACACTATTTGTTTATTGTTAAATTTATTTGCTGCTTATCTTGCCAAGGGGCCACTGTAAGCGGTTTTCAACAATAAAAAGGAAATGAAAAGAATTTAAGCAAAACAAAAGTAAAATAATAGAATAATAAAATAAACAATGAAAAAAACAATAATAATTCACTGATAC